ACAAGGGGGATCCAGTAGATATAGTGTACTTAGATTTCCAGAAAGCCTTTGACAAGGTCTCTCACCAAAGGTTCTTACATAAATTAAGTTGTCATGGGATAAGAAGGAAGATCCTTTCATGGACTGAGAACTAGTTAAAAGACAGGAAACAAAGGGTAGGAATAAATGGTAAATTTTCAGAATGGAGAGGGGTAACTAATGGTGTTCCCCAAGGGTCAGTCCTAGGACCAATCCTATTAATCATATTCATAAATGATCTGGAGGAAGGGGTAAACAGCGAGGTGGCAAAGTCTGCAAACAATACTAAACTGCTCAAGGTAGATAAGACCAAAGCATACTGTGAAGAACTTCAAAAAGATCTCACCAAAGTAAATGATTGGGCAACAAAATGGCAAATGTAATTTAATGTGGATACATGTAAAGTAATGCACATTGAAAAAAATAATCCCAAGCATACATATAATAGGACTAGCCAATTAGCCCGTCATAAGACAAGATTTTCAGGTCTCTCCTCCACGTTGGTCTTCTCTCCTGAGCCTCCAGTCTCTCTCTCTCCTTCCCTTTCCCTCCTCCTCCTCCTGCCTCCCGTGTCTCTCTTTCAGCTCTCCTCAGCCTCCTGCCTCTCTCCCTCTCTCTCTTCTCCTCCCCCTTCTGCCTCTCACTCAGGGGAACACAGAGCCAAAATGGTCACCACCCCGCCCCACCCCCCGCCTTGAGCTGCATGGGGACTGTGGAGCTCAAATGGTCGCTTGTGCCACTTGCTCCCCCGCGGCGTCCCGGCTGAGCGGCGCGGAAGTCAGCCGAGCGCCACGGCAGGAGGCGAAGGAGGTCAGGGAGGTGACGTTCACGGCCAGGCCCCGCCCCCTGGCCATGTACGTCACCACCCTGCCCCTCTTCTTCTCCCGTCAGGCACTCGGCTGACTTCTGTGCCGCTCAGCCGGGCCACCTCGGCGCAAGCGGCTGTTTGGGGTCCCCCCCCCCCCATCAGCACAGGGCCCCGGGCCACCTCGGCGCAAGCGGCTGTTTGGGCTCCGCACTCCCCATGCAGCACAGGCCACCCAGAGGGAACAGCCAGCATTTCAGGCAACAGCGCCGCCCAGAGGGAACAGCCAGCATTTCAGCGTTACAGACTCTCAGACATTGGGCTACTATATATGATTATGGGGGCTAATTTAGCTACAACTAATCAGGAAAGAGATCTTGGAGTCATTGTGGGCAGTCAAAAAATCAAACAGGATGTTAGGAATCATTAAAAAAGGGATAGAGAATAAGACGGAGAATATCTTATTGCCCTTATATAAATCTATGGTACGTCCAAATCTGGAATACTGCATACAGATGTGGTCTTCTCATCTCAAAAAAGATATACTAGCATTAGAAAAGGTTCAGAGAAGGGCAACTAAAATGATTAGGGGTTTGGAATGGGTCCCATATGAGGAGAGATTAAAGAGACTGGGACTTTTCAGCTTGGAAAAGAGGAGACTAAGGGGGGATATGATAGAGGTATATAAAAATCATGAGTGATGGGGAGAAAGTGAATAAGGAATAGTTTTTTACTTGTTCCCATAATTTAAGAACTAGGGGCCACCAAATGAAACTAATGGGCAGCAGGTTTAAAGCAAATAAAAAGAAGTTCTTCACACAGCGCATAGTCAATCTGTGGAACTCCTTGCCTGAGGAGGTTGTGAAGGCTAGGACTATAACCGGGTTTAAAAGAGAACTAGATACATTCATGGATGTTAAGTCCATAAATGGCTATTAGCCAGTATGCGTAAGGAATGGTGTCCCTAGCTTCTGTTTGTCAAAGGATGGCGATGGATGGCAGGAGAGAGATCGCTTGATCATTACCTGTTCGCTTCACTTTCTCTGGGACACCTGGCATTGGCCACTGTCAGCAGACAGGGTGCTGGGCTGGATGGACCTTTGGTCTGACCCAGTATGGCCATTCTTATGTTCTTATCCCAAAAATGTGCATTAAATAATGTAAGAGAAACTGAGAGGTTTTAAAGCAGAAATTTGGAAGAAGATTGTGCAGAGGCAGAAAGAGTAAGGCTGTACCGTATATTAGAAACAACATACACTCATATGTGTGAGTGCATTAATGAAGGCTGGTTTTCAAATTTCTGCTGAAAACCTCCTCTTCTATTCTTTCCTTACCCACTATACGTTGCTTTATGTTTCTTCCATTTTGCAATATAACTTTTATAATAGATGCTTTACAAATAAAGCTACATTATAAAATCAATTGTATTAAGTTGCTGAACGAGACAACGTTCAGATACTCTTAATTCCCTAGAAAATAACAGCCATAGGCTTACTGTTTAAAGGCTCTGTCACGTTCCTCTGTTCTTGGAAGAAAGTACAGGCACTCTTCCTGGCGTCTAAGGATTTCCATTTGTTTTTCTTTCATTTGTTCTTGGTGCTTTTTTTTAAGCCATAACCTGAAAGCTTCCTCTGGATCTCTGTTCTCCTGCTATTTAAAGTGTACACATACATAATTATAAATATTCTGTTTGTCTTTAAAATTCATATATCAATACTACTTTGAACTTCACTGGCACCTTCCACCCCAGATTATAAAACACGCTTTATAAACAATGCTGAATCTAGCCTCAGAATCGCATTATATTTTATTAATAGTATTATTGCTCCTATTAGAGAACTTGAGACACAAAGCCTAGGTTCAAAGTCTTGAGTTTTAGGCTTCATTGTAACACATGGAAATTGCTTGCTATCACGTGTAAATAAATATGAATGGATACACTTCAGAAAGAGGAAGTTATACACCTGGGTGCAGTAACGACGGTTCTTCAAGATGTGTGTGCGCTCCTGTGAGTGCTCTACTGTAGGTGTCGGGCCCATCCTGGCACCGCAGATCAGAAAATTTTAACAGCCGGACCGGGCATACGCGGTCAGCATCTCACAGCATTCACACCCTTTGCCTCATGCATGCAGTCCAGCTCCCGCCAGTTCCTCTCACCCACTCAAGTATCTGAAACGAGAAATTTACTAACCAAGACTCTGGAGCGGGGAGGAGGGCGGGTAGTGGAGCAACCACGGGGACACACCTCTCGAAGAACCATTGTTATTGCACCAAGGTGAGTAACTTCTTCGAGTGATGTCCCCGTGGGTGCTCCACTGTACGTGACTGTGTAGCAGTACTCAGAAATGTCCGGATGGTGGGCTCCGGAATCAAGGTTTGTTTGAAGTTCAAAGTACTGCCGAGGTCAACGAGGAGTGTGCAACCAAACATTGCACGATTGCATAGTGCTTTATGAACGTAGCATTGGATGACTATGTGGCTGCCCAACAAATGTCATGAAGGGGAACTCCCCGTAGAAAGGCCGTGGATATGGCCACAGCACTTGTAGAATGAGCCTTTGGTTGGGATGGGAGCGGTCTATTGTGGATGGAGTATAAAGTGGTGAAGCAAGAAACTATGAGCTTGGCGATATGCTGGGCTCGCCCTTGGATCAATCAGCGAGAGAGAGACTATCAAACAGTCTGTTTTATGCAAATATTGGGTCCTATCAATATAGAAGGCGAGCACCTTGCACACATCAAGACTGTGGAGGATCGCCTCCTTTGGTGAGGTGTGTGGCTTAGGATAAAAGAAAGGGCATATGATTGGCTCATTAATATGGAATTCGGAGCAGACTTTGGGAATAAAGGCTGGGTGTGGTCGTAATACCACACTATCCTTGTTGAAGGTGGTGTACAGCAGTACTGACATCAGGGCCACAAACTCACTGACTCTTCAAACAGATGTTATAGCAAGCAAGTCCACCACCTTCAGCGTCAACATCTGGAGTGACGTAGTGGCCAAGGGTTCAAAGGGTGGTCGAGTAGGAGTGTCCAACACTAGGTCCAGGTTCCAGGGTGGAAGTGAGGGTCTGTGAGGTGGGTTAAAGTTTGTCAACCCCTTTAGAAATCTCTTCTTAGTTGGGTGGGCAAACACCAAAGTGCCATCTATCGAGTGTTGGAAGGCGGTAATTGCTGCGAGATGTACTTTCAAGGAAGCAACGGCTAGGCCTGTTTGCTTCAGGAAAGAATGTACTCAAGGTTCTGGTGCAGAGGTGATTAATGTGGGTCGATCCGGTTAGCAGAACACCAAGAAGTGAATTTCAGCCATTTAGAGAGGTAAGTAGCTTGAGAAGGGTCCCTCCTGCTGTGCATCAAAACATCTTTGACCTCCTCCGAGCAAAGATCCTCAGATGCACAGAACCAGCTAGGAACCAGGTAGTTAGGTGCAGGGTCTGGGGCTGTGGGTGCAAGAGGGAGCCGCAGTCCTAGGTCAGCAAGTCAGGTAGGGTGTATGGTGGCAAAAGAGACATTCGGTGGGGAAAGGGGAACCAAGGCTAGCTTGCCCAAGTGGGGGCTATGAGAATCAACCTGGCTCCATCCATGTTGATTTTCCCCGAGGATCCTGGGTATAAGCACAACGGGGGGGAAATGCATACAGGAGAGATCCCCCCCCCCAATTGAGGAGAAAGGTGTCCCGCAGAGATCCCCACCCGATGTCTGCCCTGGAGCAGTAATATTGGCATTTCACATTCTTGTAGGTGGCAAAGAGGTCTATTAGAGGGAAACCCCAACGACAAAAGATACGTTCAAGTATATTGGTCCAGATTTCCCACTCGTGGTCGGGTGCAAAATGACTGCTCAGAGAGTCTGCAACAGCATTATTGGCACCAGGTAAGTAGGCTGCTATTAAAGTGAACTTGTTGTGAATACACCAATACCAGAGGCAGACTGCCTCTGCACAGAGGGATCAAGACCATGCCTCACTCTGGTGATTTATGTAATAGATTGTGGCGATATTGTCACTGAGTATTCTGGTAGTTGAACCATACATGTAGTCCTAGAAGTGTCTGCAAGTGTTGAAGACTGCCCTGAGCTCGAGAAAGTTTATGTGGAGAGCTGTCTCTCCTGATGACCACCAGCCCTGCATAGGCATGTCGTTCATATGGGCACCCCAGTCGATGAGGGAGGCGTCTGTGGTAATCTGGGCCGAAGGCTGAGGCTGGTGGAATGGAACGCCTAACAAGAGGTTGCGCGGGTAGGTCCACCATTTGAGGGCCGTGCGAATACTGGGCGGAGGAGCCACTGTTCTGTGGATGGGGTGTTTTGTAGGGGTATAAATGGACGCCCTCCAGTGGTGAAGGCAGTGGATGTGTAGCCTTGTGTGATTGTCTACATGAGTTGTTCCAGCCATATGGCCCATTAACTGTAGGCAAGTGAATATTGAGAGAGTAGGGCTGGTGACTGAAAGCAGCCCTTGGATGGACTAGAACCTTTGGATGGGTAAGTAGGCTCGTGCTGTGGTAGAGTCAAGTCGAGCGCCCATGAAATCCAAAGTTTGAGAGGGTTCAATCATGGACTTCTGTTAGTTGATAATTAGGCCAAGAGAATCAAAAGTCTGTCTGGCGATAGCTACCATATGTCTCCACCGAGGAGCGGCCTTTTAGAAGGCAGTCGTCAAGGTAGGGGAAAATTATAACATCCCTTCGATGTAGATGAGCTGCCACTATCACAAGGGTTTTTGAGAATACCCTCGGAGCAGAGGAAAGGCTGAAGGGAAGCACCTGATACTGGAAATGTTCCCCACCTACTGTAAAACAAAGAAATCACCTGTGTGTTGGATGGATGGTGATGTGGAAGTAGGCATCTTGAAGGTCAAAAGCTGCAAACCAATCCCCATTGATTAAGGCTGGTATTATGGACACAAGGGTTACCATTTTGAACCGTAGTTTTTGGAGATGATGATTGAGTTTTCAAAGATCAAGTATGGGTCTCCAGCTTCCAGTTTTCTTCTGAATGAGGAAATAGTGAGAATAGAACCCTTTTCCCCTGAACTCGTCTGGTACCTTCTCTACAGCTCCAAGGGAGGGGAGATGATGGACCTCTTGTTTCAACAAGTTCTCGTGATAAGGATCCCTGAAGAGGGATGGGGTGGGTGGGGTAGTTGGGGGCAGTGAAAGGAAGGGGATGGTGAAACCAGATGACACGATCTCCAAAACCCAACAAACATAATGGTGGCCTGTTGGTGATAAAATGGCCTCAGACAGTGCTGAAATAGGGGTGAGGCGTGATTTCAGTTTGACAATGGGAAGTGTTTGGAAGCCCCTGATCGAGGAGTCAAATCTGCTGCTTGTTGGCTGATTAGTTAGGGGTGTGGTTGGTCTGACTGCACCTTGTTTGAGGTCACTGCCTTGATCATGGCTGGTTGAAATCACGTTGCTGTTGCCTATTATACGGGTAATTGTGGTGCCTCTGCTAAAGTAAATAACGTTTGCACCAGTATGGAGGCGTGTATATACCAAGAGTCTGGAAGGTGGTAGGTGAATCTTTGCCAGAATGGAGAACCTCATCTGTTTTCTCGGCAAAGAGTTTTTGTTTGTCAAAGGGGAGGTCCTCTACCTTGCTCTTGAAGTCTCTCGGAACTCCCGCGGTTTGCAACCATGAAGACCTCCTCATCACAATTGCAGTAGCCTTGGAATGCGCAGCTGTGTCCGCGACATCCAGCACGATCTGGACACCTGTCTTAGTGACAGCATAGCCTTCCTGGACAATGGATTTTAGAATAGGTTTCTTGGAATCAGGGAGATGCTCCATCAACATTGTAAGTTTCGTATAATTGTCTAAATTTGATTTGACAAGAGCGTGGCATAGTTGGCAATGCGAAGTAGTAGTGTCACCGAGGAGTACACCTTCCTGACAAATAGGTCTATTCTTTTGCTGTACTTCTCTGTTGCAACATTCTAATACTGAGGGGCCTTAGACCTGTGCTGCGCGGCGTCTACAATGAGCGAATTTGGTTGGGGATGGGTGAATAAAAATTCCATCCCCTTCGATGGCACAAAGTATTTCTTATCTGCCCTTTTGTTTGTCAGTGGGACAGAGAGAGGGGTCTGCCAAATCTCCTCCACAGCCTCCATGATTGCCTCGTCTAGCAGGAGTGCTATTTTGGCCCGGTACGGGGGCTGGAGATTTTTAAGGAGGTGGTACTGGTTATCCTGCACCTCCGCCAACTGGACCTCCTGGCTTGACACGACTCTCTTAAACAAGTCTTGGGAACTGCTTAAGATTGCTAGGAGGCAATATATCACCTGGGATTATGACCTCATCAGGAAAGGATGATGACTGGTCAGAAGGGGAAGTGTCAGGTTGTTGCTCTTCAGCCTTGAATAATCACCCCTCCTTGGATTCGGAACGATGTGCTTGCAGTGTTGGGCTCTGTGGTGGTGGCAGCGGGGGATGTCACTCCCGTAGACTTATGGAGGCAGGTGGGTATTTGGGCGACCTATGACAACACAGGGACCATCTCCTGGAATGTGACTGATGGTGATGATGATAGGAGTAGTAGTAAGGTGTGTGGTCATGATGGTAGTTGTGCTAGTGCTAATGATGCGATTGTCCAGGTAAGTAATGCCTAGAAGAAAAAGCACTCGTATGCTCTCCTAGTATGCTGCATGTGGTGACAGTGCAGGTGAGTGAAGAAAGATTCCAGAGCCTCTCAATGAGGGGGGTGTAGAGAGAGAAAGGTGCCTGACGTGGTATCAAGAATCTCTCCGCGGTGCCACAAGGTATGGGGATGGTGCCGGTGGAGAAGGTGCCGGAAAGAATGTCAGGAAGACAGAAATGGGGGTCTGACTCTGACGTGTGTGCCAAGAAAGCATCAGGCCTTTCAGGTGCCGGATTGGATTGCAGCACAGGTTCCATAACAGCCGGTGATGATGGTGCCGCTGAAGTCAGCGTCGATACTGGTGTCAGTGCTTTAGACCAGCGGTACGCAACCCGTGGGTCGTGACCCCCAAGAGGGTCACTGCCGTCTTCCTGGGGGGTCTCCGTGCTGTAATCCAAGCCAGCTGGCATTTTGTTTTGCCGGCTCAGTGCCCAACAGACACGCGGCGGAGGGAAGTGGCAGAGGAGCAGACCAGTGCTTTAAAATAAAGAGGCCGTAATAAAATGTTCCTGGCGGGGCTTTTTTTTTGTGTGTGTGTGTTTTTTTGCTTTGCTCAACAAAAATTTTCCTAGCTCTGGGGGTTGCGAATGAAAAAAGGTTGAGCACCTCTGCCTTAGACAATGAGGCCAGTGGTGCCAATGTTGATCTTGGTTCCGTCGGTGCTTGCTCAGTTGGCACCGAAGCTGCCGTCTTTTTAAGTCTTGTGCCTGGAACCACCCTTGCATGCAAAGAAGCGGTACCGGACATTCCATTCAGTTGGCACCGAAGCTGCAGTCTTTTTAGGTCTTGTGCCTGGAACCACCCTTGAATGCAAAGAAGCGGTACCGGACATTCCAGGCTACCCGTGCTCACTCTGCTCAGCAGGACTAGTGGCAGAGAATGTACCGGTGAAGCCAGCATCTTTTTTGCTGGAGCCACCCCTGGAGAGGACACTCTCCGTTTCTGTGTAGCAGCACAGTCTGGTATAGCCACGGATGACGAGTCCAATGGCTAAAGCGCCTTATCAAACAAGATAATCTGAAAGCGCATTTCCCTATCTTGCCGGGCTCTCACTGTTAACTTTGAGCAATAGGCGCATTTCTGAGGCACATGCATCTGCTGTTTGGGCGAGGCTCATGATGAATGGCCATCTGATGCCAGCAATGGCCCATCTGTCTCCGGGCTCGCAACAAACGTCACAATTTTTAAAGCCCGGAGAACCCAGCATCATCTGTTCAAAGGTGGGGTTTTTTTTGGTTTGGGGGGAGGGGAAGTTGTTGGTTTTTTGTCAGTGGCCTAAAGGCCAGTGGAACAAAGAAATTTTTTTGTTTTGTTTTTTTTTGAACTATTAACTATAAACTGAGTAATACTAACAACAACTAACTAATTACTATATTTATTTCTCTGACTAGATGAAGTTGGAGAGAAAGAGAGAGAGCTCCGTCTGCAACCAAGGGCAGTTGACAGGAACTGGCAAAGGGCACGAACATTGCGAGATGCTGACCATGTATGCTCAGTCCGGCTGACTACGGCTGTTAAAAGTTTCTGATCTGTGGCACCAGGACGGGTCTGACACCTACAGTGGAGCATTCCTGGGGACATCACTTGAAAAAGAACATTAATTCCTGATTGTGATTCACAGTAGGGCACAGCCAAATCATCATCCTACTAAGATGCCAAATAGTAACCTCTCTCAAGTTATCCTAGGATCATAAAGGTCACATGAACACAGCTTCTTGTGTGATGCAAGTTCATCCTGTTAAAATTGGAAAATCCCAATATATGTGCAGTTCTTGTATAGTAAAAATGGACTATTCCTTGCTATGTTCATTTTTTATGATGAACTGACAAAATGGGTGTAAATTTCAATTTTCTGAGTACCCAGGGCATCCTTAACATGTATGGGATGGAGAAGTCTTAACTTACTCTACTATTTGAGCCTTCTAGTTCCTTTGCACGCTGAATTCGCTTCTCTTCTTGTACTTGTTCTTTCTTCTTCTGCAACCAAGCTCTAAAGACCATGTCATTCTCTCTCTTCTTTTCCTCTTCCTGTTGTCTTTTCTGTGCTTCTTCCTTGTGTGAAATTAAGGACTGAATAATATCTCACAAGAAAGGTGTTAGTCTGAGACATGCAAAGGAGCAAACAAACCAATACACGTTACCTGAATTATTTATCTGCCTTGACCTCAAACATATTGAGGGAAATGGGAATAATCAATAGACACATCAAGTCAATACTATATTGAGGAGGAAACTGCCATTGAGCACCTTTGTGATTAAGATTATATTTGGAGGCTTTAATTTTAATCCAAAAGTTTTTTATGCCTTTCTCAAATAAAAAAAAAAGCAGTCATGTAGCACATGATGATCTGAAGTGGGTCTGCCCCACGAAAGCTCATCACCTAATAAACCATCTTGTTAGTCTTTAAAGACCTATATGACTGCTTTTTTTTTTTTGTTTTACCAAGATCAGACTAACATGGCTACCTTTCTGTTTTTTCTCAAATCACTGCACCTTAAACCAGACCTACCTCACAGCTCCAAGTAGTTTAAAATAAGTTTAACTGACCTGGTTTAAAAACTGTTTACAAGACTTCTCCTGACTAAACAGGCCCTAACAAAATCAAAATGATTAGTGACTGCAGGCACTGGCCTATCAAAGAGTTCTAGAGCATGACCATGCATTGGAGGTGAGGAGAATGTCATTTAGTTATGCAGGCACTGATAGCATAACATCTCTGAAGCAAACATGGTGAAATGCTTTTTGTAAAAAAGTGGGAAATAGTGTGTGTCAGGTTTGTGAATATTTGAAGATACTTTGATCAATGCCAAGCCTTCCAATAAGTCACACTATTCAGAAATGCTGTCTCATGAAATTCTGTTCTTCTTCGGCACTAAAGCTATGCACCCATAAAATTTAAAATTCACGCAGATCAATATGCACCTCCTTTGAAGACCAAATATATTTTTCCCTGAATCTTTTAGCACTTGTCTTGAAAAACTGACAATTGTTGCACATTTTTAAAGTCGTTGCTATACATTTAATATTTCAGAAACTCACTGGTCTAGCCTTCTAAAATAGGCCTGGTCTACATGATGAAATTAGATCAACAGAATTACGTTACTCAGGGATGTGAAAAATCCACACCCCCAAAAGATGCAGTTAAACTGATCTAACCACCAGCTAAGCTAGCACTAGGTCTACCAGAGAATTAGCTACCACTTCTCAGTGAGATGCATTAACAAGAACAATAGGAGAAGCTCTCCTATCAGTGTAGGTAGTATCTTCAAAAAAGCACTCCTGCAGCAGTGTCACTTCAGTGTTTCAAGTGCAGACAAGCCCCAAGTCTTGTTTTAAATTGCTGTTCTACGTAATAGCCTGGACAGTTGGGTTCTTGAGGTTTTTTCCCTTTAACACTTCCATACAAAAACAAGATAATTCCTACAAGGAAAAGCTTTGAAGTTGCTGGAGGGCAACACTCACCCACACAAAGTTACTGTCTATGTTGGAGGAGTATGGGACTCACAAATAGGAAGAATCCATCAGTGAAAGAGGTGAATGTGATGGGGGAGCCATATTTATGAATATACAGTAAACCCTTATGTAATGCAGATTTATACAGTGTGCTTTTGACATAGTATGGCTTTCCTTTAGGGGCCATTTTTAGGTTGCACACTATTTTTCTATAGTGTGCTCACAGAAGGGAGTTTGGGTGTGAGAGGGTGCTCAGGGCAAGGGATCGGAACATGGGAAGGGACTCAGGGTGCTGCATACAGCTGGGGAAAGGGAGGGGATGGACACATCAGGCAGCTCCCAGCAAGCAGTATCCTGTGCTTGCTGTTGTTGGCAGAGGCATGCTCAGGCGGCTCTGCACACTGCCTCCACCCACGGGCACCACTCCCTAAGTCAGCACTCAGGGAGGGACAGGGCAGTTCATGGAGCCATTTAGCTGCACCTCTGCCAGGTTTTTATATAGCACATGGTTTTCCAGGAACACTACTACCACATTTTATAAGGTTTTACCACATTAAACAGACATTTCCTTGCTTTCCATCCATGAGCATTTCCTTAACAGTTTTTAATGAAAGAGAATGTTTTTGTGGATTTGGTTTATAAGTTCAAATTATTATTATTATTCCAACTGAGGAAATGGAATAAATGATCAAATGAATGGCTTTGAGAAGCACTATTTCCCATTAAGTTTGAGAAACAGAGGGTCTGGTAATCACTATGTTCTGGTTATTTCCTTTGTACTCTCACCTCTTTCCTTAGTTTCTCTTTCCTTTTTTGCATCTGTTTTTGCAACTCTTTTTGTCTGGGTGAAAGACTGTAGGTGGAGTTTCTCCAAGGCGCAATTGCAGACTGCACTCGGCGGGGAGTTCTTCCCATTCCCATACTTCTTGCAGTGTTGATGGCTGAGGTTGGGCGATACTTAGGGTTAGAGGGAGGCTTAGGGAAACAGATAAACTCTTCTCCAATGGGAAAGCAAGAATTTACCCCTGGCTGCACTAGAGGCTCTTCCTTTGTTAGACTGGGAGTGCCAAAAATTATGGAATGGGAAAATTTAGGAGAAATAGACTGAGTTTCAATGTCAGTGAAAGAAACACTTATTGGAGGAAAAAAGCCATGGCTTTCAATATCACGTAAACTCAAGAGTTCAAATTTCCCATCTTTCTCTACTAGGATCTTGCCATCCTTTTGTTCCTCATCTTTGCCACCATTAAGTGAAAAAGTCATACTTTGCAGGCCTGGCTCATTAGAAATATGCAGTTGAGACAGCCTACTTGAAACATCCTCTTCACTTTCAGGATCATTTTTATAAGTTTCTGTATCTTCTAGTGGAGGAACTTCCAAATCTACCAATTTATCTTTGAATTTTAGTTTCCTTTCTCTGTTCTCATTAAGAGGCTCCTGGTTCTGCAGCAGCTTGTTAGCTTCTTCAATCTTTTCCAAAATATAGCGCTTTATTTCTTCATCATCTTCGTCATCCAGGTCCTGACGGTTTTCCAGCTTGGATTCCTGGACAGAGCTTTCACTGTCCGTATCAGATGTATGATCCAATGGTTTTAAGTTGGGTATGGATACAAGTTTTTCTCCATTTGATAGACTCTCCTCTAGATCAGCATCTACACATTCTTTTTTTTCCTCATTGTCTTCCAAGTTGCTATCAGTTTTTGTTTCAATATCGTCTTCATTCTGATAAGGATTATAAAAACAAAGTTCTTCCTTTAAAGTTGTATAAGAAATAGTTTTTTAACTTGTTAGAGAAGTTAACTTAGAGTAGTTTATACATACATAGCGCATCATTAAGATTGGGATTTTAAAACCACAGAACTCAGGAAATGTACTGTTTAGGCTCCCACAGCAAACAACTGAATATGCCCTGTAGAGCATATTACTTAGGCTTTAAGACCACAAGGGACCATCATGATCAGCTAGTTTGGAATCCTGAATATTGCAGACCACACCTAGTCCTGTAAACGACCAATAAACTCAAGAGTTTCTAAAGTCCTCAAAACATGATTAAGGTTTCAACTTAAGAGAATCCACCATTTACACTAGCTGAAGTCTGCAAGTGACCCAAGCCCCATCATGCAGTGAAAGGTGAAAAACTCTGAGGATCTCTGCCCAGCTGACTTGAGGGATAAGTTTTCCCACCCCAAATATAGCCCTCTGCCCACACCACCACAGGTTTGTAGCACACAAAATCTACTAGGCTCTGGTGTGTAAAAGGAACGTGGAGAGTGTCTTTCTCCTTCTCAGCTAGGGGCCACTTGTGTGTGGCCCCGATTGATTTTTCTGTGAGTCAGTGGCCCCTGCTCCAAAAAGGTTCTCCACCCCTGCTCTGTTGTAATTATGAGCCCTCTACCCAATAGTTTTCCATCACCAGTCTTTGGAGATATTGGCTGCTGGCAGTCACAGATTGGTTACATACCATTGTAGGCAGTTTTGTCATATCAGCCCCTCCATAAACGTATCAAGTTCAGTCTAGATAAAAGTTAGGTTTTTTGCCCTCACTATTATCCTTGGAAGGCAGTTCCACTCCTCTCATGGTTAGAAAACTGTCTAATGTTATGCCTAAACTTCTTAATGGCCAGTTCATAGCCATTTGTTCTTGTGCTATCACTGGTGCTTAACTTAAATAACTCTTCTTCTCTGGTATTTATCCATCCAATGTATTTATAGAAAGCAGTCATAAATACTGCTTCCTTTTTGTTCCATTAAACAAAAGTAGCAAATTGGGCCAGAAGACAATTTGTGCCATTACACCAGCCACATCCACAGCTGCTAGTTGTGCTCCCAGCCATTTGATATGGGCAGTGGATGCAGGGTTTCGTGGTCACACCGTTTACAGGGGATGATTGTAAACATAGCTATCTTACAAAGGGCCAAGAGGAGGGCAACACAAACATGTTTTTCATACACAAAGAGCAATCATTTACTCTCAGTCTGATCTGTTTGGTTAAAACAAGAACAAAAGTAAAATCACTATATGAGAGAACACAGTGAGTTGTCTCCCCCATTTATTATAGAGTCTGCATTGAACTAAATACAAAATAGCCATCATTACAGATAGAAAGGTGCAATATATAGAAAATAATCACACTGCTAAAATGCAAGCTACAGGAACAGGCCTTCCTCTTATGAGTGCAGCTTTCCAGTAGAACTGATGGCCATGCCTCCAGAGGTGATGATGTGAAAGAGTCGTGGTCTCCCAAAAGCCCAGCCGTAGTAGAACTTGGTGTTCTATCCCATATGGTCTTACACTTAAATAGGAATATGTGGCTCTTGTTTCTGTTGTCACAATCGCATTAGGGAGGCTCTTTCAGTCCCTCCTCCCAACAGAGGCCAGAAACATGGCAAAAGGACGAACAGAATAGCCGGAGTGGTAGGCGAACAGTATCAAACATATCCAGGCTATGAAATACTGAATTTCATAACCAGCTTCTATTTTGGCACTAGCTCCTCTCTTACTGCATCTCTCTATATTTCCATCTTCACGTAATTTGGAATGAACCAAAGCTTGAGTAGCAAAGTGACAGACGCAACTTAAAAAAAAAATCACGAGACTTGCACAAATGCTTCAAGATACCACCTTGGAAATGAAAGTACATTTGATCCAAGCACATTCTCTTTGTGCCTATAGGGAATACTGAAAAGCCACTGGACACTGCATCGCTTTTTATTAGAATCACAAATATCCTTTTCCTAATTAAACAGCAACACGTTTACAATTAGATACATATTTGAATTCAAACTCAATTGATGTGTAGTTCAAGTTGGTAAGATCTCAAATGTACAGTATAATCATTAGCATTGACCTAATCAAATACCTCTGTTTCCCCAAAATTGTCTTCTTTTTCTTCATTAATTAGCCACTCAAGATCCTTTTCAAAATCATCCTCATATTCTGCACTTTCTGTTGAGTCACCAGCCTCTTTTAAGTCATTAGTGTCTTTCTTGTCATCCATTTTGGCTCTGTTACAGCAATGCTACAAGAGGAAAAAAATGTTTTCAATAATACTTTTACTGACACAAAAAAAAATACACTGTTGATACCTGTGGTACATAGGTAAAATGATGGACAATACAACCACCTACATATTTCTATAATACCTTACAAGAAAGGATCTAAATGAGATTGAGAATCATGAATGGATTTAGCCTTTCAAACCCTAGGTAAGAAAGATAGTTTCATTCCAGCCTATAAAAAGCAGATCTGAGGCACTGAGAAGCAAGTTGATTCATCTATGATCTTTCCTAAAGAAAGTTATTGGCAGAGGTAGGAAGAGAACCCAGGACAACTAGTCCCTATTCTTTAGCCACACTGGGCTCTTAGAAGACATTTAGGGGTAAATTAGAACTAAATGGCAGCAGAGAATATTGAGGTATAAACAAACTTTATGGCTACGTCTACATTGGCAAGATTTTGTGCAAATACTCTTTAATGCAAGAGTTTTTGAGTTAGAGTATTTGAGTAAGAGAGCGTCTACACTGGCATATGCCTTTGCGCAAAAGATGTGCCTTTGCGCAAGAGCATCCGTGCCAGTGTAGACGCTCTCTTGCACAAGAAAGCTCTGATGGCCATTTTAAACATTGGGCTTTCTTGTGCAAGAAATTGATGTTGCCTGTCTACACTGGCCTCTTGTGCAAGAATAGTTGCGCAAGAGGGCTTATCCCTGAGCGGGAGTGTCAGAGTATTTGCGCAAGAAGCACTGATTTTATACATTAGCACGTCAGTGTTCTTGCACAAGTACTCGCAGCCAGTGTAGACAGGTGGCAAGATTTTGCGCAAAAGCAGCCACTTTTGTGCAAAATCATGCCAATGTAGACACAGCCTATGGGACTGCAGGAAACTTGGCCACACCCATGATAAGTGGACATCCAGCTAACTAAAATCATGCTGGATCATGAATGTTGCTGGACCAGAAAGTGCTGTACTAGAGAGGCTCAGCCTGTAACTTCAAATGATGTAACGACTGTAAGCTCAATACTAATGTTTAGTACTGTATAACTATATGCATAATTACTACTATATGTTTCACAAGATATTTCAATACAAAATAGAAGAAACAGTCTAACGTGAGTGGTGGATATTTAAGATGCAAAAGAATTACTAAAATTAAATTTGCTCACAGAGATTAAGTTAGAAAAAGCAATTTCATTCACAGTCGGAGGTTTCTCTCAAAATGAAGGAAAGTCAGTAATTGGTAGGTTTTCCATACACTTTAGAACTAATCCTGAGAGTTAGGAACATTTTCAAGCAAGATATGTGTAGGGCAGACCAAACAGTTTCAGAGTACACTATAGCTGAAATGAAATGCAGATTATAGAAAATTATTTTCTCTGCACACAAAATATCATGAACGGTAGGTTTTGACGTAGGAGGGTGAAACAGAAGTTACCTGTCATTTTCTCGCTCTCACAGACATAGGCATGAAAGGGAAATAGAAAGAAAAGCAGGCAGAGTAGAGGTTTAAGAAATTAAGCCTTTAAAGCAGCTTAAACTGTAATAACAAGCTGCAGGCTAGTAACAAACTAGTGAAGTCTCAGTTTAAACCATATAGCACATAAGGTGAAATTATAAGCATTTGGTTAACATCTTTAAAGAGTAGCCAACATATCTTTCAATAAGTCTGGGTAATGATTAAATCAGCCTTAAAGCATAAAAATACAACAGTATCTGTGCTGAAATACAGTGCTAGTTAGAACAGTGCTTTAGGTGCTAGAGCAAAACTTATTTCTCACAATTCTAATAACATAATTTTTGTCTGTTATCATGAAAAGGAATTTAGGTTTCTATCATGCTGACTGAAATAAGCTGCTTCTTCTTTGGCCTTATTCACTATCTGTCTTTCATTTATTTGGAACAGAATATTTTGGCAATATTCCGATAGAAGTTTTAAGCCTGAAATTATACAACACAGGAATGTGGTCCAAATAATTTATATGGGAAAGCAATATAGTTATTTCCCCCTCCCATGCTGAAAGAACTTCTGATCTTTCTTCAGAACACAAAGTTTGACTATGGGTTTGCTAAGGGAAAAACAGCGACTATCCTAATCTTTATACTGAAGCAGCACAATTCGATTTGGAGACTGATGGCTCTTGATGGATTTTCATGATGTCTCTATTTCATTAGGAATGCAACCTCCTTCCTAATGCTTGTTTCTCCTTTCTAATGCTTGCTTCTGATAGGAATTTAGGCCTGGGACCAAATATTTCCCAAAGACATTATCTATGAAGAACTCAATTGTCGGGAGACAAAATATTAGATGTACACTACGGTGACCCATTTCAGCTAGAAGTGACAATAGTTCATGTGATCAGGGCTCAATATAGCTTCTTCATAGTAGTAGCATTGATAATTGGTAGGCAGATGGTACCCTTGCTGCTACAGTTATAGCTACCCTTTGGCTGGCATACATGCAATTATTTTACAGGTATTGTTTCCCATTGAAATATATAAATGGAGGTGGTTCCTATCCAACAAAACAGTAAGATCTGATATTTCACTGTCACTGAACAGTTGCAAATTAGGAGGAATAGGGGGGTAGTAACCTGCTGATCACATTGTTGGAAATCTGTCCTGTCAATGACACATCAGGAAAAGCTGCTCTGTTTATATGTGCCCAGGAGAGGGCACTGTGGTAGGAATGTGAATAGATAACTGGGTACCGGAAGGACTGTACAGCCTCTCACCCACCCTAGGGAAGGTGCTGCCCCAGCTCAGAGGGGCCTGAGCAGTTTCTGCACATGGCAGGATTGGGAGAGCTCTCCAGCTTGGCCAAGGTAAGTGGGGGATCTAGGTTGGAACAACCCCTCCTTCTGCCCCCATTTAAGTGATTAACAAGTCAAACATAAAAATTAACTAGTTAAATGAGATTTTACATCCCTTGCTGCTGTCCGGCAAAAGTCTTTCAATCATTTCTTAAGTTACTGACTCGTCAACAGAATACATTTAAAGTTATTTATTTTGCTGATGTTTATTCTTCTCATAAAATTCTACATAGCTATAATAGTCCTTTCACATGCTATCGTGGTATATTGGCGCAGCTTTCTTAAAGTTGTAAGTCTGGAGTTCAATATTCATTCTTCATTTTTGAGTGAATAACGTTTAAAAAGTATTTATCTATTTCAGGCCCATGCACAGGAATGTCTGTGGATGTGGAGTGCGAGCCATGGGAGAGGCTGGTGGCTGCTCTGCCCCTACAGCCCAGCTCCACTCCACTCCTGGGGGAAGGGAGGAAATCAGCCCCAGTCTTCCCTCCGCTGGCCTGAGCATGGAGGCTGGGGCAACATGACACCTCAGCCTAATGCTTACTTGGAGGACCATGGGGAGGGTGCATTCACACACACCCCTGCTTACAGGCCTGTATCCCCACTTTAAATATAGGAATATCACCACCATGTAGGTAGATATAGCAGTGGGGGTGCACCAGGAGCTCTCTCTGGCAGACTGGAACCAGCCCATGGACGCATATTTGTCCATGCCTACTCTAGGCGGATTTAAGAAGTGGGCTGTGCCCATTAAAGCTCACCATCTACATGTTTTGTTAGTCTTTAAAGTGCTACCAGACTATTTGTCATTTTTTAACTTTACCCCGTACAGACTCACTCAGCTACCCCCTGAAACATATTGTCAAGAGTGGTTAGCTAGCCCCTGGCCCTTGCAGTGAGGTGAACTGGATTGCCTAGTGAGGCTTTCCCATCTCCATTATATTGGAATCCTCAATCGGCGCAAAAGAACAGTGTTTCTCAACCAGTCGTACGAGTACCCTTAGGTACAACTGAAATATGGAGAAAACTGAATTTCTGTTTTAAGTTTTACAGCGTTTTATTATTTTTACACTTTTTACACCCAAAAGTTTCATCATCCACCCGGATATGATTAAGTTGTTTAAATAAATGTGTTGCAATGGTAGAAAAAAAATTATGTGAGTTTAAAAACTGTAGTAGGTAATGGGGGGTATGTGTATATTTAAAAAAAGGGTGCTTTATTGCAGTGTTTCTCAACCTTTTAAAAAAAAAAAAACAAACCAGAGTACCTAGAACTGTTTTTATTTAGATAGATAATATTCATTTAAAAACACAAAAAATCCACACACAAACAACCTCATTAAGTTATAAAAACCCTTTACTTAGGCCGGGCCTTATACTGAAAAGTTTTTCCAGCTTAGTTTTGCTTGTTACAGTGTGATTTTTTAAATGACAGCTATGCTAGCAAAAGTATCCTTTGGCCAGTATAGAGTATTCTTCTTGCCAATATAGACATATTGGCAAGGCTTCATGTATATACAGGGCTTAATGGCAAGGTTTTCAAAGCACTGGCTGTCTTTGTTATATGTTTGTACAGCACTTAACAGCATAACACAAACAAGAAATAAAAATAAAAATCAATATTTTGAAATGCACAAAACAGTAAGAAATTCATAACATTACAAAGTTCTAAGCACAACCTAAACTGTCACATTGCACATGAAGTACACAAAACAAACAACGCTACTGATATTCAAGCACAATGGAACAGAGGAGAGAGCAATCATTAGCATAATGTTGCATTAAGTTCATGAGACTAACCTTTCGGTAAGTTATTTGCCTCACTAATAGAAAGCAGCAATAAAATGTGGAATGCTTCAGCTAGTTTTCAGAGCGTTCCCAATCTGCTTCAATCATTTTTTCCCTTGCTCCTAGTAAGAAAAATCACACCGGTTACACAAAATCACAAGCCACCCTATGTTTGTAACACCTTCCTCTCAAGCTGTTGCACTGTAGGAGAGATGTATTAACTTAAGACCAATTATCCCCCTAGGCTGAAGCAGACGAGTACTACCAACTCCATGTTACCTCTGGGGAAGCAGGCACGGAGCGCTGAGAGTGGCTTGCCCAGCCCGTGAGGGGCAATGCAAAGCCAAGCAGAGACCCCAGGCGTCCCACCCCGCAGGGAGCGGCGGGGATAAGCTGTTGCACTGTAGGAGAGATGTATTAACTTAAGACCAATTATCCCCCTAGGCTGAAGCAGACGAGTACTACCAACTCCATGTTACCTCTGGGGAAGCAGGCACGGAGCGCTGAGAGTGGCTTGCCCAGCCCGTGAGGGGCAATGCAAAGCCAAGCAGAGACCCCAGGCGTCCCACCCCGCAGGGAGCGGCGGGGATCTCCGATTGCTGATCCTCCGCCGTCTGGTCGCTCTCGCCCCAGCGCCCC